GACGGAAATTTGAGATTTTGATCTGTGATTTCGCAGAAACCTCATTAACTTCCAACCATACGAGACTGCATTGGATCTCGTTGTTAAGAAACTCTTGCAGAAAGTTTGTCACTATTCTCCATTTAACAAAAGCTTTGTGCATGAAAGTGATGTTCGTGCTTTTCTTATAACTGCATCGTATGCAATTTGGTGAAAACTAGCCAGTGAAACATCTGCCTTCTAACAGGAAACAAAACAATCTGTGAGAAAAAAAACTGGAAAAGCTTGTTGCTGATTAGGTTTCCTTTGATTGAGATTCATAGGTGCAAACCTTTCATAATGGTGATAACTCACCAGCAGCAGTAATTTTTCTTTACGGATTCTCTACTAAGTTTCTCGTGTCATAATCTTCTTAATAGAATTGGGAAACAATTTTTTCTTCAACGTAGTGAGTTGCCTCACTGTGCAATGGAACTTTTATGGTCATAAAAATTATAAAATATGGATTAAACTGCCAATTTTTGGGTGAACAACCCAGATATTGGTTTTTATAGCATCCGACGAGTTAGCTCGACATTTCACTAGTGTATAGTTAGATCATGGAGCAAGATGCACTAGATGTAATAGTGCATTATCTCGAACTAGTTTTTAGATATGATGTCTAAGGAACTCTGAGATTAAACTCTAGTTTTTTTAGAACTAGACTTTGAAAGATGCCTTTTGTTCTGAAAAGCTGAGAGGCAGCTAAAACTTTTATTGAAGTCAACCAAAAATGTTTTATATCAGCTGAATGTGCATATTAAGTCTAGCATCATTAATTGCAGCCTTGCTGACAATCTGTTTTGCAGGAAAGTGATCCCTATTCTATTTCTTACATTATTTGCTGCTATCGATGGTGGAGGTCTATCTCCAAAGAATCGCAAATTATGTGCTTTGGGACTGTTTTTCGGCGCTATTGGCGATGTCATAATAGGCGTCAGTAAAGAGGGACTGATTCCTGGAGCTCTTGCATTTGGAATAGGACATTTCTTTTATATGGTGAGTGAAGTTATTCAGCTTTCACAGTTTAAATTATTAATTGTTGAATTTTTGAATTGTTATTTGTATTAGGTGTTATTGCAATATTTTCATTATAGAGGCCATATGCTAATGTAGAGACTTAATCGGAACCTTATTATTCTTAGTTTTGGGATAATTTGTTAATTTCACCGTGATAATACTTATTGTGACTGCACTTATTTTTTCAGCTATATTTCCAGCAAATTTTGGATTTCATACCTTGATTGTCCGATCAAATGAGAAACCCTTAGAACTCGCCTTCTAACCGCAGTTGTATTCGCATTAAGGTTATCTTTGCATGTGCTTTCGTTTTGAGTACTGGTTGAGTGCTGCACTGTGAGCACATGTAATATAGTTCACAGAGTATCATATAAATCACACTTGATGGCCAGGTGTTCAAGCGAGTTGGCGGTTGTTGATATAAATTAACAATACAATAAAGAACAAAATTGACATAAAAGGAAGCGTACAAATTCTTTGTGCTGCAGAAGAAAATAAAATTAATCTAAAAAATTTGGAGTTGAACAATTTGCGAAATAAGTTGATTTTTTCTCATTTTGCTGTAACATCCATTGGTTTCCGCTTTTGCACATTCTTAGCGTAGAGACCTATGTTTTTATAAATACACGTTGATGATTGCATTTTCGAGCCATCTGCTTTCATGACCAGGCATAACTCATTTTTTTTTCAAAATTACATTGCTCGTACTATACATGTTTTCTTCGAAAGTTCTGAAATAAATTTTTGCTGCTCATTATTTATTGGGAAACATGATGATTATTATGTAGATAACAAATAAGTGCCATCTTCAGTACATTTAGAGGAAGAAGGGTCTAAATTAGATTTGTTTCCTAATCTCCGGTTTATGCATTCAATTTATTATGTTGCAATGTTTTTTCAGACATCATTCAAGAGTTTTTTTTTCAGTCACAATTTCTCTCCCGTCCTTTGAAGATCTTCTGGCCACTTTTGTACATCATTACGGCTTGGGGCTCAATAATTGGAGTTTTTGTTATGCTCCCGGCTGCCTCTGAACATCCGATAGCAGTTTCTATCATGGTCACATATTCGCTGATCCTCTCGTCATGTCTTGTCATTACCGGTTCTCATTACATCAATCGAAAAACGGGTGATGAAGATAAAGTAATTACCCTTATCTTTTTTTTATGACCGTATGTTTTTGTGTAATCTAAGCTCTTCAGGGTCTCTACTTACGATTCATCGGCTACGCATTATTCTACACTTCTGATTCCGTGCTGGTTTTGGCTGATGTTGGATTTAGGGTTCCATTTGCTGAAGTAATAATTTTGAGTACATATTATGCTGCACAATACCTCATTTTGTGCGGCAATATCCACTCAGGTCTTTATGTGAAGGCTAAACATGCCTAAGCATACGTTTCAAACAACTAATAATGAGCATTCATTTTGTGAGCTGCATTGTGACTAGGAGTACTCGTCCTTGCACTTATTTATTGATGAAATCACTCTTTGATTGTGATGTGATTATGATGTCAGATTGTACATAATTCAATGAATCGTACATTGCGAAGTGTGCTCTAAAAATACTGCAAAGGCGTTGATCGACACCCTTTGGTTACATGGGACTTATACGTTCGAA